ATTGAAGTCATCGAATCAAATATATTGTGGTATTTACAGCGTTCATCTTGCACGGGAGAGACTTTAAATACGTTTATCAATCAAATTATGCGTCAATTTCTTTTCTCCTCTGCAATGGAACATGCCATTCCTTCGTAAATGTTTATAAGGTCCACATTGAACTGTTCAACAGGTATCGAAGCACCCGTACGTGACGGAAAATGAGGCGTGCAATCCCGTGATCTTGGAGACAAGCGCGTACCTACGAGACGTGCAAATGTCGAAGGAAGAAGACAAGGAATTCGTGACACCAAGCATTGCCCAACCGCGAATCCCACAGGACATTCTGTTTTCTATTGGTGGGTATCATGGCCAAAGTCCGACAGTTGCGATTGAAACTTATGACATACGAGCAGGCCGATGGAGTGTGGTGAGTTGTACACATTTATACTCTTACAGATCTTTGTTAAATGACGCCTCCAAGATATAACTAGCTTTTCTAGTTTTTGCTTATTTATGCTAACTCACAAACCTCTTTGCCTCTTTTATTTCCATGGCAGTGAACACGTTTTTTAAGAGAAGCTCCAATTAAATTAATTAAAAAGAATAAATGAATAGATTAAATGTCGTGTCTTATGTAAAATGTAACTTCTAATAGGAATCAACGAAAAGTGTGAAGTTTGCCTTAAATACCGTTTACAATAAGCGTCCTACATCAACTGTCATGGCAACCTGTTTGCTGATTTTAAACACGAAACGAAATCATCATTGATGATCAGTGTGGATTTCAACGTAATAAATGAATTACTGATCATTGTCGATGTTCGCTTTCTGGGTGGTAACGCCGCGTAAATTTTATGGCACACTTTTTGGTTTGGAGTGAGGGACGTACTGCCTCCAGCTATGCGTCGATGAAACCCAAAACAACATCATCTGTCTTCACCACCACACGAAACTGAAATGTGAGCTGTTGATCAGAAATTCTACATTTCTCTGTAAGCAGAGATCGAGAGAATGAAGTGTCCTTCAGTAACTCGTCGACTTGAAGAGAACTCTGATAATGTTGAAGTTTCTTCCTCTTTCCTCCGCCCCCCATAATTCCACCATTGTTCCAAGTTCCTTTCTCACGGTCTTTGTCGAGCGCGTTAGGCCCGGTCACCGTTCACGGTGTAGCAATTTCAGTCGGCTCTTGAGTTTGTACCTCTGCTCCGATGGTTGCTTGGACTCTAATGTAAGGACTTCACATTAGTAGACCTTGTAACCCAAAGAAACATAAAGCCATGACCTGTCGTTCTTGCAGTTGGAGCAGGTCGACTCGATCGGTCCGCGAGCCTTCCATGGCACGGCAGTAGTCGGTTTCGACATTTACGTCATCGGTGGTACCGACTGCGGCATTGAAGAATTACGCTCATGTCATTGCTTCAACGCTGTTACGAAGACGTGGCGCGAGGTGGCGCCTATGCATGAACGCAGGTAAATATGCAGTTCGCTAACTGACAAACTCCTTCGAGCAGAGTCCTACTTCAAAAGCTGATAGTCGCTGTGTTAGTCAACATATATATGTGGACAGGGGCTCTAACTTTACCACCCACATACACGAGCTTCACTTAAAGTGTGGATTGGTAGGAAGACATTTGTGACAATGTTGGTCGTCGATCAAAGCCGAATGGAAGTTAATCACAAACTTCGTTCGCATTTTCTCGAAGTTTCAAGAATATTATTAGCTTCTTAATTGATTTGAATTTTTATTTAACAATGACGAAGCAAGAACTGTATTCTGCGAGAGGAAATGTATCTGTGTCAGCAATTAATGAGCATCAACGCCAGAGGAACACGAAGCATAGCAAAGTCTGAACTTTTTTCTTTTCAGAAGGAACTTAGCTGTGACAGTTCTGGGAGAAATGGTGTATGCCATGGGTGGTCGTGGTTATGGTCAGCAACACGAAACGGTGGAGCGATATGACTACAAGACGAACCAGTGGTCTTTTATCGCTCCTATGAACTCGCAGCGGTGGAACACAAGTGCGGCTGTGCTAAATGGTAACGGAGAACCTGTGAAAGATTACTGTGTGAATTAGTGTAGAAGGCGAGGCGTCTGTCTCCCGGCGTCTAACAACGCAAGAACGTCATCAAGGCAGCAAGCAGATCTGAAACATCTGTAAACTAGTAGAAATAACCCTTTAAAAATGAGAGGCGTGATTTATTTCGTAATAATCATATGTCATAATATTCTCTCTCTTTCCTCTTCGCTCTTGAACTGACTTTAGTTTACCTTGTTTCATTGTCCCACTTCCTTTTATCCGTGCTATGTACTACGTTATTTCACAGACTCCAACGACTTGACGTTCTGAGTGCGTGATGGTTTCCTTTGCTCTTGTAACCCTTCCGTGTACATCGTCTTCTGCCTTTCTTGTACTACAGATTTATGACGTTTTTGAGACAGTTAATAATCTCATAAAATAGCAAATTGTGTTAAAAATTTAAAGCACCTCTTGGCAGCTTGTGCCGTACATATCCGGTAACAAATGTAATCAAATTCGTTTTACAGAAGATGTAACTTACCAACATTTCCATTATGCATTAATTTAAAAATTTTATGCTGTTTATATTAAATTGTATCAGTTTTTCATCCATTAATCTCGTTTCCTTTCTCACGCTAATTGTCTCCATTCATTGAAATACATAAAGTTGAAAAGAAAGAAACAAATGAATAGAGACAGCCGTGTCCGTACAGTTGCTATGACACGAAGGGGGACATTAAATACAATATCATTAATAGATTTACGAATTTAAGTACATATTTTCCCATGTTTGTGCTCTGCGTGGAGCAGTGTAATGCCTCTGTCTACGTCAAACCTGTATACAGATTGTGTCACATACGTAATTTGTTTTTACAGACAAAATATACGTCACTGGTGGATATTCTAAATTTTATAATTATTTGAACACGGTGGAAGTGTATGACCCAGTCACCAACCAATGGACGCTCGTTGCAAAATTGCATTCTGGACGTGTAGGTCATTCTTGCGCCGTCTTCCATGACAGTCTGTACGTCCTAGGTAAGATTTCTAGATATCCTGAGTGATGTTCCTCTATCCTACTTATAGAACTTATTATTGTGCAATGTTTTCCTAGTTTTCTTTGAGTGCTTCAGACTTTATGAACAGTACGGTAAGTTTGTCAGTATTTTCTTAACCCCGATTCATGGTTAGAATATATTTTCAACAACAGATAATCTCTTGTGGGATCTCAACTACGCATGCCCCATTTGTCACAAAGTCCAGATTTTGGTTTTACCTACTGAATGTAAATATTTTTATATATCGCAGAGAGCTAATTTTTTCCCTATTTTACAATTTAATACAGTGCCAGGAACCATTCTAAACCCAGCTGCTGAGAAATTGGATGTGATTAGCACGAGGCTGGAGGCCCGCCAGCCTCGTGTTAAAGGGTAAGGTAATAAAACATCGAGTAATAGTCAGGACATTACAAAGAAGTCATCAGATGTGTCAAGCAGAGTCCATGATTGTAAAGAAGAAACCAGTTCATTTGTTAGTGCAGAGGAAGGAAGACAGAAATCCAAATTACAAAATGAGAAATGGACAGTAAACTGAATTGTATGTTCCTCTAAAACTTTGGTAAACTACAATCCTGTTTCTACTGTACCGTCAATAAACTCCAGCATTAAAGTAAATGCTTCATAGATTCCCTTGTTCACTAATCGAGCTACAAGTACGAAAATAATATTGCAGCTATTTGATCCTTAACTTCGTTCCTGGTACTAATACAAACACTGCAAAAGGGAATGAATTTTCTTTTCTGTATTTCATCCATTCCTTACGTTTATGAAATTACAAATTTTAAGAGCATAAAGTCCATTGTGTATGAAGGACGGAGTGTGAAGCATTGAAGTTACGAGAAATACATACATCTAGAAAGTTCTAATTGTGTAATCTTGAAGGTAAGATACCACTTGTGTAACATAGGCGTAAAAGGAAGGATAATATTAAAATGTCTTTGAGTAATTACAGTATGTGGGAAGGGTTCAACTACCGACTTTTGTGAATAAGGTAATGAATCTTAAGGCTCCATAAAAGCCAAACATTTCATGGCCTGGTGACAGAGTAATAAATATCAAGAAGGGCCCGCTGAATGGGGTTAGAGTAAGTTTCGTTTGGCAGATTTTTTTGTATATAATGTGACATATTACGGAATATGTGTGCAGGAGGAGACAACAGTACATTATACAAGCTCATAACCGAAAAGTATGACCCTGCAGAAGACACGTGGACCGTGATCCCTTACCGGATCATCCCAGACAGATACTTCAACGTAGAAATGATCGACACGCACATTGTCATTTGTGATTGTTATGACGTTAGCGAAATTTACAATGAAGAGGAAAGAAAATGGTTTGTTTCTTGGTTTGTTTGTTCAGAACTGTATAATCACAAACTGTTACTTTCTGAAAGCACTAGGATGTGAATCATTTCCGGTTGACATACTCGCGATCTTGCGGGTGCTGCACGATGTAGTGTCGTTTAAACTGACCGACGTTTCAGAGGTTCTAACTACTTATTCAGGGCATTGAATGCAGCACGCGGAAAAAGGTGTGAGGGAAGGGGGGTTGAATGAAAGCAGGCAGGGCAATGTTGCGGTCAAGTTGAATCGTTGAAGGAGAGAGCAAATGACTAGGTAATGCTAATCAGACATCAACTGTAAATGCATTATTTAGAGCTCTTAGGGTAAGTTTCTTTGATCAGGAGTACTCTCTTGGGCAGGACATTTCTGGCGTTCAGCGCATCAGCGTCGCTATAATCATTGGCTTTCATCAAAATGTTAGGCTGGTTTCACATCTAACGACGCCTATCCGTCTCACGTTTCTTTCTTTGGATGGAAGTTTATTTGAAAATGGCTGTCTCTTGGTGTGTTTCTCAATGCAGTCTTGTGCCATCTGATGATGGAGTCAGTAAGCAGCCCCACAAACATAACAGAAGACAGTTTTCTTCACATTTGTCTGTGCAAGAGCTAGATATCTCACAGAAATTCATTTGTTGTTGGTTTACTTTCAACAGAACCTCTCTAGAACTATTGTTGGCAGGACAGACAAAAATAAACTAAATTTTGAAAACAAATTGCTAAAAGGGGGAAATATTGTTATGGCCGCAATTCTCAAACAAAACACGCGTCTCTCTCCAAAGAATATTTGATTGAAGTGTTATTCTGACCGAGGGTAATGGCTTAATGAAGTATAGCAAACACATCTGGCGCAGAACATAATTCATTTGACAACGTTTTAAAATATTCATAATCTGTCCCTCCATTTTGATGTAATAAAATGTATTATGTTATAATAGCATGTTGGCCGGTGTTCTATGTGTATATGAGTAAAAGAAAGATCACGTGGGAATCGTCTACTGAAGTCCCATTGGGGAATTTTTTGCGAAGTTTGTCTGGAAACAAAATACAAGCAACGATATTTCGGTGGAAGCCTGTGCCTTCAGCTTCGAGCAGTTTTCCACTCTACCCAAAGAGAGAGCCAGCAATCAGGCATGGACTTTCTTACGTCAATACATTTCAGTTTAGAACATCAGAAGAAAAGTATATATATTTTTAAGGAAATGGTTAATTTCTTTAAATAATTGCACTGACATTCAAATTACATTTCTTTTAAATTTATATTAAGTAAATTATTTTTGGTAGAAGTCGCATTTCGTCATGAGTTACCTCATCTCATGTAGAGCTACATATTTTCTGTAATTGTGTCCGCGAAATATGATAAAAATTGTGTTGAGTATAGAAAATACTGATGGATGATGAGAAAGGTTTTATTTTCACTTTTTAAATTGCAGGTACCAGGCGTCAAAATGTAATTTTTGTAGATATGGGATGTCGATTTGTGTCGTCAAGGACCTACCGAATGCAAAAGATTACGCCTACAAACACACATCCAAATTAATTTAGTAGACACGTAAAAAACTGTTCGCGTAGGAAACCCTGCGGAGTAAGCCTTTGATTACAACCTCGACAAACACGTCAATTTTAATTACGTTCCTCTAGAAAATAATGAAGAAAAGTGGGATGTGATGTAGTAGCCAAGATGAGTAATAAGTCATAGTTGGAATTATTATTTCTCTTCGTTATTTTCTGCTCAAGAAGTTTTATTAACACTAAATTATTATAAAGACGTTTCATTGTATCCAAAATATTATTATCCATGAACACATACTAGTTTCACTTAGCGACTTGTATGAAATTCATTTCAGGCGACATGTTTCGAGTTACGAAAGCGTCTTCATGGTTTTAGGGGAAGTGGGGGAAATCACGCCATCTTAAAGGAAAATAAAAAGTTGTTGCTTCATGAACATCGTTTACAAAAACTTCATTACGAAGGCAACACACGTGAAATTTTTATTTATTTATAATGTATTACATGTATTTAAAAAATGTTGGTTGAGTTGCGCCAATATACCGTGTAATTCTGCCATGTTTCTGGCGAAGTACCACCATTTCCAAATGCCATAAAGATAAAGACGATGCTTTCCGATAACGGTTATATTTATTTATTCATGTAATTTTGTACGGTATTTTTAAGGGCTTGATGTATAAGTACAGATTATTACCAAAAAAATACACAAAACTAATTAACTTCAATTTAGTTAAGACACATACAGAGTAAAAGATGTTATAAAATGGGGATCACATAGCGTGTTTCCGAGATAAAGTCAAATTCTGTATCAGCTTAACAGATCATAAACCAGGGCTCAAAAACACAATATGCCGACAAACTGCCTGGCACTCGGGCAATACCGCACAATAAAGTACCATTACTTCAGACGTGGTTAACGTAACACATTATTTATTCCCGCAAGAGCCCAGAATGTTACAAGTCTGCATATTCAGAAGAATAGACATGCACATTTGTACTTTCAAATATTTAACGTCCAAAGCATGTCCATAACAAGGATCGGCTGGTTAATCCCATGTAGGGAAGTTATGTCTTTTTGTTCTGAGAATCTACAAAACCCATAATTACATATTGTGATTGTTAATTCAGGCTTTCCTTTCCGTTAACACTGGGTTTTAAAAATGTGAACTCTTTAAGGCAATCAATGTCATTATGGAGGCGAGCGATCTTCATCTGCAGAAAGTTATTACTACGTAACTAAACATTAGTTAAGTTCTGTTCTCATTTTCCAAAACCGTGTTGAGTGAGCCCTTTGGCACCATGGTGTTTCACATCAGGAGAATACGGACAACAGCCGATAAGGGGTAGTCTTCTAACGAAGGGATTAAGAAGGGGGTAACAACTTACTAACTTATTATATTACAGAGCTGTGTATTTCTCTGACCGGAGTACAAGTTTCTCAAGAATACGTTTGCTCCATGAATTTCGTTACATTTTCCAAAGGAATTTCGAAACTTATAATAAAATACAAAATGACATGTATTTATAAAAATACTAACTTTTGTTTTCTAACAAAGTCACATTTTTGCGACATCACATCAATTCTCATTACAAGTTCAATTTAAGATTAAATATTCTCAGTGGATGTAATTATGTTATGTTTTACAACTATCAACATGCGAGTATCAGTTTTAATAACACGTTTATTCTGGAAATGTCTTTGCTTGCATAAAATGCTCTCTAAGTACTTTAGATGTTACTTGCGTAAGGTGGAGGGACAAGATTTGTGGTTTGATTTTTGTGGAAGGCTGAGGTACAAGTCTAAATTCAATGACATTCCCACCCTCGACGTCATGCATTTCGCATATACTCCGTGCACTTTACATACCCCAGCCATCGTATTCTCATTGATTTGATCATCCAAATAACAATTGATGGAGATTAGAAATTATGAAGATTTTCACAATTCAGTTTTCTCCAGAATCCTGTTGCTGCCCCTCTCTTAGATCCAATGATTTTCTACAGAACCTTGTTCTCAAATATCAGATTTCACACCCATGGAAGTAAATGGGTAAAACTGTGATCTTAAGTTGTGATGGCAGTCAAGATGTCAAAAATGATCTTCCACATATTTTTAACTTGTGGTCTTGTAGATGGTTACCAATGTTTCAGAGGAACACGTGTGGCATTGCAGCCTTTGAGACTGACATTGACAAATGAAATTATAGATACTTGTATTTTAATCTTTATGTCTCTAGACAGGAGAAAATAAAAGAAAATTATTCTGAACAGATGTAAGTTTCTCTTAATTTATTCATGGATGTGATTTTAATTTGTTTTTGTTATTTTGAAACATTTAATTTTTACCACATTATCAGAGGGGTTATATTGTATCTGTGTATTATAATGTCTTCATAAACTTTGTTGATTATACATGAAGATATTACTTTGTTAATATGTCAATGGAGTTTTGCTTTCTTTAATAACCAGAAAATCTAGAGTAAACAGTCTCAAATTGTCAATCTATAGGTCCTCGTCTTGGCCAAAGTGGAAGACACAAACAATTTGTTATATGTAGAACAGATTTACACAGACAAGTATAAATTGTACAAATGATCATGAATTTTAAATTGAAATATTTAAAAACATTGATACAACCCACACCCAGTCACCTGCTGAAGGCCTGCCATATTTTCCATCCCCTGTGCGGTATTTACAAATTTATTGCTCGTCTCGGTGGCCATTTCCAATACTACAGAACTCCGGGTACCGGGTTACCTGGCTCACTAAATCTCTCTATTTGTGCATACGGCATCTCAGTGTCCGTTCCACCATCTTCAATCAATTCTCAATCGAATTCAACAGTCCTATTCCGCAGCTGCCTTCCAGCCATAACTTCACGAAGTGACTGACCTGATTCGGCGTAGAAGATGATCTACAGCTACGATACTGTCAATAGGCGTGGTCGTCGTTTCGATGTCCTTGTGACCAGCGTCGGGATGCTGGGACGCTGTGGTTTGCTCCCCTCCCCCAAGTCACTCACTATTGCTGTCGATCCGTCGGAAGTGGCCTTCCTTCAATTCTTCCTATCGACTGCTACGAGTCCCGAAGTCGGACCCCTCGTTGTCGCGCCAAAAAACACACTGTAACCTATCGCTTCCACGGACCGGTGGATCACAGCGTCCGCTATGTTTTGGTTGGTCACACACTGCATTCCATCCCGGACCGTGTGTAACTGGTGGGATAAGTTGGGTCTTCGGGATTTGTCAGGGGTATTTGTTTAGCTCATTTTGTCGGTAGGCAACGACTCATCTCAGTTGGGTTCACGCCCAGTTCGTACCAAATAAATCAACCACTTTATTAATTTCACAATCTTCTTACAAATCACTGCACCTCTTCCGAGCTCACAAAGTGTTGTGTTTCAACAGTCGGCAAAACTCCTTTTACACCGTAAACATGCTTACGGTCGGACAATCTATATTTCAATATCTGCCGCAAAAGGAAATGTAATAACAACTCCCACTTGGCGCGGGTCCACGTTTTGTCCGAGAAAAACACGTCAATGAGTGGATAATAACAAGCCTTGTGACCTAGCACAAAATGTTGGATTCATTACGAGTACAGAATTAACCTAAACCAATAAATTGATGTAACATCACTATTTCAAAATCTTTGAAAGTGCTGAGATGACAACTCACGCCCATCAGATGCTTCACCTCTAAACAAAATACAAACACACTACACTAAATAGGACAAGAAATATGGTAATTATGTAACACTACCATCAGCTTCTCTTCCAGCGAATTCTCACTGCACTAGATTACATTAGGCGTTTTCTATAACAATGCCTTAAGGTGTTAGGTTTACTTGGTTTTACTTTTTTTATGCTCCCTCTTAAGTCACATTCGTACAGAAAACTTACATAATAACTTCACTCACATAATCTTTCATACCAAACAACAAAATAGATTGAAAAAGTAAAATATCTTTACAAAGTTCGCTCTCATTCTGTTTTCTTACTAAACTATAATTGCTGTGGTTCAATTGGTAACCCTTATTATTATGAGTGCATGTTATCTCAACTGGATTCGTGACAGTTTGTTAATCAACTTTAATAGTTCAAAGAAAGTTAAACGATCAATTACAAGCAAGCTTACTGACGCTTGAAGGAGGAAGTAAAGGATAGGGAAGGAGACGACTTATGCGTTCCAAAGTAGCTTCTTTCCCGATAGCTGCGTGAGTAGACCAACACGTCGGCTACATTTGCTACGACAAACTCCGTGGTGTCACCACCTAGCACCAGCTGTAGTGCTCTAATAAAAGCTGGCAATAAATTTTTATACGTTTATACTTACAGACTGTTGATTCGAATAAAAATGCAGTATAAGCCCTATACGCGTTCTTCAAGGGAATTTGCAGCTCAACTCAAATCTATGGACGACATGTACTTAACTCCATGAAATTTCTGCAAGTGATCGTTCAGCGGAGGCGTCCTAGTCCTGTCTGGTAAACTTACGTCATTAATCCTCCTGGCATCGACACATATCCTAGGCGCTTTACATTGCCTGAGCACAACGGTATGTGGATTCAAGAATGGCGAGTTAAAACAAGTCTCAGCTTCCTAACCTAACCTACAATTGACTTATCATCAACGAATTTGAATTCAAATTCAAACTCCTTACAACGGCCAGGTCTGGACGTTAAGAAAGTGGCGTACTTCATTAGTCCTTCTAATAACAATTACCACCAACCAAATTCCAGATTTCCGCTTCACCAATAGCACGAGCGTCGGGACATTCGTTACCAAAACTGCGAGTACCATCAGGAATAAGCTGCATAATCTCTGGTCTATACCACATCTCTTCATCAACTATTTGCCTATTTCCGAGGCTACCTCGAACTTCAAAAATATCCATACAATCTACCTCATCAGTAACATGGCATTCGCGCCGTACATCAACATCAACACAAAGCGAACTCCGCTCTAACACATAAGCTTCACTAGCTATAGATTTATATAAATCGTCGGGACTACTTAAACTTTCTGTGGTATGAGTTGATCTAGATGGGCTATCGTACCGCCTGTACCGAATATTGCCGCACAACAAACTGCTATCTACACGTCCTACTTCGCAAGATTCCGCCTCTACACTCTAGCTAAAATTTATAGTTCTCCTTAATCCACCCAGGGAATACTCAATACACTTACAATTAAAACCAAGAACAACGCCATGCAACCAAAATGGTCACAACCTAATATTATATCTGACGCTAACAGCGACGATGCCAGAAACACATGTTGGAACTCATCCTTTCCTAAATTAGACGCCAAAAAGACCTGGGTCCTAACTCGTTTAGACTTCGTTCCAAGAGCGTAAATGAGTAGCAAATTCTGTAGTGGCAAAACCAAAATGCCTAAACCTGTCGTTACTAAGTCATTGTAAGCTCTCTCTGACAATATGCTGGCCGGCGCGACCGTGTCTTTAATGCTGCTAATTACTATGTCCGGATCAGAAACTTCTACACAGGGCAATTACACAAAACAGAATCGTTGATACTACAAACAACCAAAGTTTCTGCTTCTCCTAAGTCCGAATCATCATCATATTCCTGAAAAACTAATTATTCGGCCGAACTAGAATTTCTAAGATTGCTGGATGCAAAGTGGTGAACTTTATCGTAATAACCAGCGGACAGACGTAGGGTCGACAATCCGTCGCTTAGCATTTCTCCGCTTGCTGCCGACTGGCTGGACCATCTTGCCTGTCGTCGCTCTAATTCCTGTTTGCGAAATCATTGGCTCAACG